GCAGCACCCGGGACAGCGCCCTTGGCGCCCGGGCTCCCCTCGCGCCTCTAGGAAGCCGGCGTGGTTTGTGCGTCAGCCGGGCCCTGTTGTGTGGAGGTGGGTCCTCGGGGCCTGGGGGCCCAGGGCTGATTTCTTAGGGCCCCTGCCGTGGCTGTCACCTCCAATGGCCCTCCTCCGAGGTGCAGCTGCCCCCTGCTGGCTGGGAGGCCCTCTGGGGAGTGAGAGGGCAGCTGGTCCTGGCCAGCGATGGCACAGAGGTGGGGAGAATGCATGTGCTGACCGGCGTGCTCCTGCTCTGGCCGCGACACTCTGCTCTGTGTTTGCCCAGGTTCATCCTGCAGGCGGGCCAGTGCCTGTGGGCTTGGGGTGGCCTCATCTGGGCCGGGGCAGTGGCCAGGCTCCATGAAGTCTGCAGCCTCGGGTAAGCGTCCTCCTGGTGGTGTGGCCGCCGCAGGCAGCTAAAAGGCTTTGTCGCCACCCCTCTCCTGCAAGACAAGCAACCATGTGGTTTATTAAAACTTAAATATCCACTTTCCATCAAAAACACATGCAAATTTCTTTTTAAAGAAAAGGTCTGAAATAAAACCATGCACTTACTGTGAGGTGGAATTTAAAATAGCAACTTTTCCTTAACAATCCCTGCGTTTCTTCTGTTTATCCAAACGCAGCGTGGGACCAGCGTGGGACCAAGACGCCAGCTGCCCTTGCGTGAGGGCACGCTGCACTGGGGCTGGCTGTCAGCCGCTCCCCAGGCAGGGAGAGCCCCCACCACGTGCGCCAGTCCCTCTGCTCCGGCCCCTCGCACCGGGGAGGCATCCCCTCCGCTGAGCTCCAGCCTGGTCCGCGGCGTGGTCTCAGGTGGCCACACCCGGGTGGACAGCTCGCGGGGGCGGCCAGGCAGTTCTAGGGAGGCCGGCGCTGGAACTGTGAGGTCTTAGCTCACCGGGCAGAAACCTGCCTCCCGCTTTTGCCCTCCTCTGGCCACCCTGGCGAGGTCTGGTCCTGCCCCATCCCGTCCTGTCCCGTCCTGTACGGAGGCCCCCAGGGTGGCAGACCCAGGGCAACTCTCTCCTCGGCTCCAGCCTGAACACTCCATTCGTCTTGCAGACGGTTGGGTTCCCTACGTATTTTCAAAATTCCACGGATCTTAAAAAATAAGTCGCCCAAGCGCACTGTCAGGTCAGCGGGGGCCACCTGGGAGGGGGGCCCTGGGAAGGGGCTGGGGCCAGTGCGGAGGGGGCAGCTCTGCGATTCTTCTTTCGCTCAGCCATTTGCTCGTTCATTCATTCGCTTACTCACTCACTCAGTCTTTCAACAAGCCCCTGTTGGGTGCTGAGGACTGGGCTTGGTGCTGCAGGGGTACTTGTCTGAGTCCCCAGGCAGCACCGCAGTCACAACCTGGATCTGCCAGGGACTCAGAGGCGAACCTCAGAGCACCTTTTGGGACAAAGAGCTTCCTCTTTTGATTGGAGGCTACCCTCAGGGTGAGGCCATTTAGTGACCATAGATGCACCTTTGAAAATCCCACCTGTTTGCTCGAAAGCTGTTGGAGGGCCTGACTGACTCGGTGAGGCTTAGGTAAGGGTGCGGGGCTCTGCGCGGTGGGCCAGGGCGCTCCCGGGTGATGGGGCACGGCGGCCGCCTGCGGTCCTGCTGCTTCTTGAGCAGACGGGCAGGAGTGAGACTGTCCGCTCTTGTCGGCTCAGCCAGTGGCCTCTGCGCCTCAGGGGATAAACCCACCCGTCAGCCAGCCTGAGGCCCAGCAGCCGGGGCCGGAGGAGGCGCGGGAGGAGACGGCTCCCGGCAGGGCAGGGGGCGGTACACGGCCACGAGGCCCCATTCTCGCCTCAACACGCTTTTCCCAGCACCACCGCCCCTCCCGCAGCGCCTCCGAGGATGCCCGAGGTCCCTGGGGAGGACGCAGGTCGGCTGCGTCTCTTTCCCACAGCTTGGAAGTTGCCCGGACCCCAGGGCAGCATGCAGGCTCCGGGCAGGATGTGTCTGTCAGACCCGGGGCTGGCGCTCAGCACAGCCGCTCGAGGAGGCCTTGTGCCGGACCTCTGTGCCCCCAGCTGTGCAGGCACACCACAGACACACGCGTGCATGCAGACCCGTGCAGAGAGCAGCACCCACAGGCACACGCGCACACAGGTGTGATCTGAGGTGTGTCACTGAGCTCCAGAGGAAAAGTGACTTCTGTCCCGGCCAAACGCCTCCCATTTGGGCCAGGTTACAGGGGACCCCACAGGAGACCAGCGCCCTCACCGAGCGCTCTGCTTCTGGAGGGGCGCGGTCCCCTGGTTCACCTAGTTTGCTCTGGCCAAACTGACCCCAGGGCACATGAGTCACCGGCCAGAGACGCCACGTCGGGGATAAGGGGACCAGGGAGGCCTGGAGCTGGGCTGGGAAGCCCCAAGTGTGCGACATCGGTGGGCACAGCATGTGGGATCCCATGGGGCCCAGGCTGGTCCTGAGCTGAGTCCTGGGCTGCGTGGGGTCACCCAGGATGCTGCTGGCCGAGCAGTCTCAAAGTCAGCCTGCTCCTGTGAGGGCGGGACGGCAGCTGTGGCTGCTCCCCGGTGGCGGGGCTGGATAGAGCCTCCCGCCCAGCCGCCCGCTCCCGGGGCTCACTGGTGCCTGGCAGACAGCGGGTGCCCCCGGCCTGTGCCCACAGCCCCTCTCCCCGTGAAGCCCAGGCCCCCAGGCTGCTCACATGCCGTGAGCTCAGGCGATGTCCTGTGCTCCTTGGAGCCCCTTCCCATCAGCCGAGCCCACTGCAGGCACCCTTGTCCCCCAGAAGCACTTCTAGCCAGCTCCCCAGCCCCACTGTGAACTCGCCCCCCTTTACAGCACCGCCCTCCACCCTGAGACTTGGGTTCTGACCCGGACGCCCCGCTTGTTGGCCCTGTGACACGGGCAGATCACTGAACCTCTCTGGTCCTTAGACTCCTGCTCTCAGGCAGTGAACAACTCTCTCCTGCAACAGAGCAGATTGGATGCCTCAACCCCCCCCCCCACGAAATGCTCATAATACGTGTTCTGTGTATTTTCACTGAGTGAAAATTGTGCTGAAGTGCGTATCGCTGATGAGTTTTGACAAACGCGTCCACCCGTGTAGCCAAGACCCCGCCCAGGTACAGAACATCTCCACCCGCCTGGGGGCCCCCCGCTGTTGCAGGCGGCCCCTCCCCGCGCCCGGAGGTGAGCCCTGACGCTGTTCCTGCCACTAGGGACTAGTCGTGCCTGCCCGAGCGTCCGCAGTCAGAGTCACACTGTGTGCGCCTTTCAACCTGGCTTCAGTGCAGTGTTTTGGGGACCCATCCGCCTTGTTACGTATCAGTAGTTTGTTCTTTCTTAGAAGAAAATCGCCGAGCCCTGTTCTGTACGGGCACAGCTCAGCCTCTTCGTCCACTCTCCTGCAGGTGGACGTTTGGGTTGGTTGCAGGATGTGGCTATTAGGAACAAGGTTGCAAAGAACATTCCTGTGTAGACGTCTGTTTGGTTTCTCTGGGGTGAGTGTCTAGGGACTGACTGCCTGGTGGCACCGTCGGGCTGTGTGTGTCTTTGTAAGAGGCTGCCAACGAGTTTTCCAAAGCGACGTGTTCTGTTCCCACCAACACGTGTTGGGTGGACTGTTCCCCGTCTGGCGGGCACGGTGCTGTCCGCCCCCCACCGGCCACCAGGTGGGGGCCGTGGTGCCTCGCCTGGTGTCTGAGGACGTCCCACGTGGTTTCCGGTGCCCCTTGGCCTTGGCGTACGTCCTCCTCTGTAAACGGTCTGTCGATGTCTCTGCCTGTTTTTAAACTGGGTGTTCTGTCATTTGATTACTTACATAATCTGGTTACAAACCCAGGTTTATTTTCATTGTCCTTAATAGTGACTTTTAG